AAAAAAAAAAAGAAAACCTTCAGCCAGTGGGTGGAATCCCATCTCCAAGCCAGGCTGAGATCACCAGGTCACCAGGACAAAGAACTCTTCCAGGGCTAATGTACCCAATGAAGCTGGACTAGTGAGATGGACAGCGTTTGACGTCCTCGGGCATAAGCCGGGCAGTAGCTGAGATGGCCGCTCTCAGCCCTGGCTCTCCCACCCCTGCTCGCATGCCATGCCCTACCAAGCTTTCCTGGATCAGTTGATTTTGTCTCCACCGGCTGTCCTGCAGAAGGGGGAATAATTGCACCATCCATCACAGACTTTTCCCAAATAGCGAAAATTTATCAGAGGCTCTCAGATTTGCCAGATGTCTTTTCCCCATGGGCACATGACTGACGAGTTACTACACCTCTCTGTATTTCAGTTTCCTTATCTGTTAAAACCTGCACCTGCTCATTGGGCTGGGGCGAAGGCAAAATGAACTTGAAATGATTGAGATACTTAGCCCAGTGCCTGGCCCATAGTAGGTGCTCCAGAAGTGGGAGGCATTGCTTAAAACCCACTGGGAGCCTTTAACCACTTGATTGAAATTAGATGACCCCGAGGGGTTAGAGGAAGCAAGTGGTTTAGAATGTGCAACTAGGGAAGGCATTTGGAAGGAATCCTGCAAGAGCAATTAGAAGGTTTCCCAAAGAACAAGATACTGGCTGCCTCTTAGGACCCATCACTGAACCTCAAGCCTCATTATGAGAGAGCTATTTGGTGGTGCCTTTGTACCCCAGACCTCCACTGCTGCTAAGATTTCTGAGTGTGTCTCGCAGGGAGTAGTAGCAAGTGAAGAAAGCCTTCAAGAAGCTGTCCATTAGTCGGTGTCTGTCTGGCAGATGGAGAACTACCCTTTGGACAGAAGGCATGACAAAAGCTGGCTTTTTAGGGGCTCATCAAACAACACTCAATCATTTCAAATGTCCCAAGATGGGCAGCTTTGACCCTAAATGTTCTTCTCTTGATTTAAAAAAAAAAAAAGCAATAGAAACTTAAAGGAAAATTTAAGCCATGTATTTCTGAGAATTTATACTTAGTTCATCAATTCTATTGTTCTCTGAGAGTTGTTTGAAGTCTAACAAGACTAATGAGCCTTTTTTTTCAAATGTCTTTAAAAATCCTTTTCTCTTAGGACATTTAGAAACTTTGAACATAGTTCCAAGGGTGAAAATAATAATATTAATAATAAATTGCTCAAAACTCCCAACCCCTGCATTTTCAAAATTAATACACTGAACCCAAGGGATTTAAATTATTACTGGAGTTTATTATCTCTTGTCTATGGAGATTTTCAAAAGGGAGAAAGAAACCACATGGAGGTTTACTAGAGTTCATTGTGTGGTTCGCTTCATAGTCATGTCCAGAGTCCAAAAGACTTCTAGAACTTTCCTGGCCTAAACCTTTAGGGGAAGCCCCCTAACTTGGAGGCCTCAACAGGGTTAGGTTGGAGTCATACTGAGGGTACTGACTTTTCAGCCTGGACTATTTTTGGCTAGTGGATCAGAGCCAGAGACCTCCTGTGGTGGTCTTATAGGGCATGTAATCTATGTCACATAAAATGGGTGACATGTGGTTAGGTGACTACCAGGTGGAAAGAGAACAATTTTTCTTTGGGGTGCGTGCAAAGAATCCGACTGCCGCAGTGACCCTAGAACTCTCTGCGTTGTCATCTGAGGACCTCTGCTGGTGGAATTTAACCCAGCCTGTGTGAATCGATGCTTCTGAGCCAAGTCATCCAGCCCTGTTACATTTTCCTACATTCCTTTCTCCTGTTTTGTCATTCACATTAAGCAAGGAGCAAGAATCAGTTGCAAACACCCAGAATAAAGTGGTGCATGTGCCTGACCAGCCTGTCATTTCACAAAAGTTGCCTGGTACCTTCTGTTCTAGTGAACCTCTGATACATTTCCTGTAGCAAGAAAAGGGAGCCAACATGAAGGAAAATGTGGTATCCACAACTGTTTTCATTCTGCTACTTTTACTCAACACCAGTCTTCTGAATGGTGAGTAAGAGACCATCCCACTCTCTTTCATTGCCCAGGGTGTTTGAGAGTTGAGAGTCTGTCATGGTCTTCTTGCAATGCTGTTATGAGAAATGAAAATGTTCGTGTCATGTGCTGCTATTAAATTATTCATAATATTTTTGCATTAAAATTAATGCAATTAATGAAAAATCTTGTTACTATGCTCTCTGCCTTCCATCCTTATTTTGGAAGTGTAAGGAAACAGCTCTAAGGATGACAGGACCTGAGTTCTAATCCAGGCTCTGCCAGTTACTAGCTGTATGATCTTGAGCCAATTATCTAATCTCTCCAAGTTCTGAAATTTTCAAAGTGAGGATAGTGATGTCTCCTCTGCCTCAGATGAAATTATGTATGTGTAAAATCTTTGAAAAACCATAATGAGATGTAAGAGACTGATGTTACATGGCGGGGAACAGGTACAGCCAACTCTGTTATCTGTGCTAATGGGGAAATGAAGTCCACAGCTAAATGAGCAGGTGGGTGCCCCTATATGTACATTTCTGTGTGTCTACCCCTGTGCATTTCTGAGTGTGCAGATTTCTATACGTACCTGTGGTATATTTCTGTAAGTGCCTGATTGCAAATGCTCCTCTGTGCATACCTGTATATGTATACTTCTGTGCATGGATATATGTCTATGTGTGTGCCTCTGTGTATTTCTACATTGTGTATTTCTGTGTGTACCTATATGTGTACTAGTGTGTACTTCCATGTAGCTGAGTATATTTCTGTGTGCATGTATGTACTTCTGATGTGGGCTCTGGTGGGGCACATGTCTCCATACGTGTATGTGTGGTGGGTGCCTGTGTGTCTTATTCCATGTTTCTGTGCATTGAGACAGTCCACTAAGTTTAACAGTCTTTTCTAAAGTGGGTGAAGGGAACATTTGATGAATTGTAATTTTAAAATCTACCTTCCTCTCTTTAGTTTTCCAAAGGTACCATTAATAACCAGTAAAATGCAAAAAAGATAAGATTTTAGCGAGAAATAAAAGGGAAAGCAGAGGTTAGAATAACCCACAAGGGAAACTAAATACTCAAATTACCAATGATTTCCCTAATTGGCTTCCAAGTGTGTGATCATTATTGAACCATAGGGTTTGGATATTTTTTTAATAAACTTCTTTCTACTTCACACACTCCTCCCTTCCATGACAAAAAAAAAAAAAAAAAAAAAAAAAAAAAAAACCATAAAGCCCCCCATAAAAAAAAAAAAAAAAAAAAAAAAAAACAATATAAAAACCTTGCATTTTTCCTGTGACTCCCAACACCACATTATCCTGAAGAAATTATCCCTGGAGGACGAGCAGTGTCACAAATATTGGCAGAGCCGCACAGGGCTGGCATGGACAGTTTTCAGCAGAGCTGGGAGCTGGAGGGTAGCCAGGCTCCAGTGGACACTCCAGCCTGGTTTTCTGGGCCCCAGCCTGTGTGTACTATTTCCTTAAATTCCTCTTTCTGGCCAGCTTTGCCTAGAGACCACTCTCCCCATCTGTTTCCCTTCACTGAGGTCTCCTCCAAACTTGCTCTTTCTGATCCGGTGCCCAGCTCTGGCCTAGGAGTCAGCCTGAGGGATTGGGGAAGGAGTGTGGGAGGAAACAGAACCCCCTGAGTTACTGAGATCCACCCACACCTGACTCTCCTCTCTGCTCCTGACTTCCTGACTGAATGCAAGGGTGTCCAGCTAGGCAAGAAGAGGATCAGCTAGAGTCATATGGGTGCATGTGGTTGGCCTCCCCAGCCCACCAGCATCGAGGCAAATCCCCGGGGTCACTCTGTCCCTCTTTGGACCTGCCAGCCAAGCTAGAGAAATGAGGACCAGCTAGCCAAGAGCTTTGGGGATTAAACAACTGAACAATTCTATCCCTTGACATTGTATTTCCACACCACCTCAGATCTCCTGGCTTCTAGCCCGGGGCCGGGTACAGCCCTTAGATAATAATGGTTGCTGGCCACTCTGCCATCTCACCACAAAAAGAAGCGAGGAAAGAAGGAGAAATACAGGAGAAAAAGAGACTAAAAGCCAAGATTCAGAAATGGACACAGAGAGGACGAGGAGAGAGACTGAAAGAGTGGGTCATAAGGTCAAAGCTGAATGGAATTGAGGAATAGCGAAGGGGAGAGGGAAGGAAAGGAGGAGATAAAGGGAGAGAGGAAGGCAGCAGCGGGGAGATGCTCGGATAAAGGGAGCATCAGCAACACGGTGAACGGTGAACGAGCAGATCAGGAACAGGGTGAGTTAGTCGCGTGGGGACTGCAGGAAGATGGAGATTGTCGAGCTGAGTGGAGAAGCCCCAGAGCGTGATGCATGGGCAATGTGTCTGCAACTTGCTTGTACCTGGAGAAGGATTCTTTATATGGTCGCTCTTAGGCTGTGGGAGGGTATCAGCTTTACAGACTCTGGCATTACAGAAGGGCCACATACTTCTAAATCCATGTGTATCCATCTTGCTTTTAAGGCTCACTCTTTGTTGACGTCTTTCAGTTAGTCACTGGTCCTCACATGGGCTCTTGGTATCTCCACCTCAAAGTACACACATACACACACACACACACACACACACACACACACCCCACTGCAAAGCGCTCGCTCACTCTCTCTCTCTCTCTCTCTCCCTCTCAGAGCCCTGCCAATGTCAGGGCAGCCCACAGAGGAGTGTTCCTGGGTGCTGACACTTTGGCATCCCTGAGCACCCCACCCTAGGCCCACTCACCTTGACACTTCATCACTGGCCTGGGTCCCATCAATCTGCTTCTGTCCCCAGCAGAACAGTGCAAGGGTTGAATGGACCTCACTATTGACTCCAGCGGCTTCTGGCTTTTCTAGGACAGTCAGCTCCTGGAAAACCTGAGATCTCTAAATGTCGTTCTCCCGAAAAGGAAACATTCACCTGCTGGTGGAAGCCAGGGACAGATGGAGGACTTCCCACCAATTACACGCTGATGTACCACAAGGAAGGGTAAAAAGTTCTCTTCTCTCCTATTAAACCCCATGGTGTTCCTGCTCTCCAGGCCAAACACTGGTTCTGAGTTCGAATGACAACACTTCTCTGGATTTACACCAGTAGGGCTCATACTACTGGGGAAAGGGGAGTCTAAGGGCCATGCCCACATCTACTGTTAACGTCCTTTACGAGCTCTGTCTATCTTCATAAGGTCATCAGCCACACAGTGGCAATACGATTTTAGCAATGTTTCGAATTACCTAACTGTCACAGCCTAGCTTCCAGCCCAAGGCCCTTTATAAGTGTTTCCTAAGTGTTAGTTAATCCTAGATGCTCATCTGCATCTGCAAACCTTGTGCCATTTATAATTTTTTTTTAGTAAACATGTTACTTTTACAACATAGAGGATTACAGAAAGTGGCACCATATAATAATCCTTCCCAAACATGGTGCATTAGGTTTTCAAACTTGTTTCATGTTCAAGAAAATAATGAACCTTGTAAGGAAAAGAAGGTAAGGACTTTTGCTTAGCGAATCGCTGATCCAGGGCGCACAATCTCCTAGAGGGAATGTTTGGACCTAAGGTTGCTGTGAGGACTAAATGAGATCATCTCTGTGGGAGCGTTTTGTTGTTCACAATGAGACCCTCCTGGAAATCCTGAGAGAGCTGTATCCTTCCCCCCAAAAGAAAACATTTAGCTACTGGTAGGGACAGCTGGCCCACTTTCCAATGACTGCACTTTGTTTGTACACAAGGCTATTGTCACAGCGGGGAGCCAAAGGGGCAACATGTAAACAGAGTTCAGGAACTCAAACACAACCAAAATTGAACAAGCCTTCATACCTGTGCAGTATGCCTTGAGTTGAGGCCCCTAAGTCTAAACATGGGCAGCCTACTGAGCCACTGGGCCTGAGATGTCTCCTTTCAAAGTCACTTCACTCTGCTGCTGACCTAGTACAGTCTGAAAGGTACTGCCATTACTTTTCATTCTCACCAATTTTTTTAATGAAATGTAAGTCAACACGTGCAATAAATGCTGCATTGGCAATGGTCACAGTGTGTGTGTGCACAGGTGAAAGTCCGTTTCCTGAGGTGACCCAACGGCAGTGCCCTGAGTGTGGTGGTGCCTTGGCCACGGGAGGCTCAAGTGTTTGTTGGCAGGGGGTATATTTCACAAAGCCCACAAAAGCACTTGAAGAGAAGAGCTGATGAGAAGCAGAGTACTTGAGGTCCTAAAATAACCTTTTCAGCACACTCTTCTCTCACTCCCCGCTGATGTGGGCAGAGCACAGAAGCCGGCGCCGCCATTCATCAGCTCTGGCTTTTGCACTTGGAATGACTGGTCCCCGAAAACCAGTGGTATTGATCTATTAAGAAAAAACTAGATTCTTTTTATTACTTTCTTATTCACTCATAGTATATTACTCATTGCAGTGAGACATTCACCCATGAATGTCCAGACTACAAAACCAGTGGCCCCAACTCCTGCTACTTCAGCAAGAAGCATACCTCCATATGGAAAATGTACATCATCGTGGTGAACGCCACCAACCAGATGGGAAGCAGTTCCTCAGACCCACTTTATGTGGACGTGACTTACATAGGTAAGGGGAAGGGGAGTGGGTGAGGAAGTTGTTACTCCATTACATATTAATCAAAAGTCAAACTCAGTTTGAGTCTTCTTGGCTTTTGGATGGATCTCCAAAAAGTAAGATGAGAAAATTCACAATATCCTTGTCGACTGAACATTTCAAATCAATTTTGATTGAGTCATTCATGACTATGAGGCTGGCACTTGGTATCCTTGTGTCCCTAACACTGATCCCATCTTCTTGCATCCAAAATGAATGTTCCATGTATGCTTCCCTTGTCAATTCTCTCCTGCCTTCCCTGCAATCGATGTCCCCTTCTTCCATGGCATTCTGGGATTTCTTTTCTTTCTCTCCATGGAAGACAGAGCTGCTCCATGGAAAGGCAGCTCTGAGAAGGGGTTCATCTGGTTCTGTATCCAATTGCTTTGCGCCAAGTTCAATTCTCTCTCTCTCGCTCTCTCTCTTCATATGTATGAATACACACACACACATACACACACACACACACACACACACACACACACACTTCTTAATACCTGAGCTATTGTGTTACAAATAAAAAAATTAGGGAGTAAATAGTGTTACTTGAACATCAGGCTAAAGGCCAAGATCACAAGTACAATGTTTGGAGAAGTCATTAATTAGCAACGTAGAACAAAGTCAATCTGAGAAATGCTTCTTGGTTTGCATGATCAACATTGAGCTGCCGGGCAGTTGAGCATAGCTGTGGTGGCCTTGTGGTTTTGCAAGGATGACAAAGGGAATCCTAGGACAAGAGATGGCTGGCTGGGGCTGGGTTCAGCTCTCATCTAGAATAATAAGCTATAAAGTAGCTAATTAGGTTCAAGGTCACCCAAGTCTTCCTGATGTACCTAACACCACCCAACAAGAAAAATCAGGCTGGGACGCTTTGTGTTCACTGCCATATCATCACGTTGGCATGTTATCAGTGGTTGATACTTAAAAACTAGAAAAGCTTCCAATACCAACTGGCACTCACTCTTGAATATTTTCTCCCCACAACAAGTCATTGAAATGAGCATGGGGTAGAAACTGAATTCGTTCTTAGTTTAAGAAAATCAGAAATGCAATCTCACTGGCAAGTTGGAATGAAATAAATTCTGGTCATATAAACTTCCTTGAGACATGAAGTCTTTAAGATGCTAAATGCCAAATAATTCCATTTTCATGGGCTCTTTCTTGAATTACTGTACCCTCTAATGTTACCATATTTGAGGGCAAAACAACGAAAGCAAGAAAAGTTCTAAAACAAGCAACTATTATAATTAATGCGATCCCCAAGAAAAGGGGCTCACAGAAAGAATGGTGTGTTTAAAAAGTGACATCTGTAAGTATGTATCAAATTCACACGGACTCTGCAAAACAAATTCTCTCGTGAAAGAATGTGTTGGACCATGTTTTTTGAAATAATATAAGAAGTGTCCGTGGAGTCCTCATATAACCTGCAGCACACAGTGTTGGTGACAGGTCATGGAAGTTCATTTTAAAATGAACAGTACATTTTCTAACAGCTTGACTGTCATCCAGTGATAACCTGCAGTACAGAACGACAACATTGACAGATAATTGCTCAGAAATAGATTGCTTTGTTGTTTTTGTTGTTGTTGTTGAGTAGTATTTAGCTATGTTGAAGACACTTGAAAGCAATGGTTCTCAACTGGGGGCTATTTTGTCTCCCACAGGATATTTGGCAATGTCTGGAGACAATTTTGATTGTCACACCCAGGGAAGGAGGGAGGAGGGTTTTGCTCGCACCTAGTGGCTAGAGCCCAGAGATCCTGCTAAGCATCCTACAATGCACAGGACAGCCCCCGACAACAAAGAATTATCTGGTCCCAAATGCAAGCAGTGCTGAAGTTGAGAAGGTTTGCTTAAAAGGAGTCATCCTCAACATTTTATTTGTGGCTTTGTACAAATTTTTTTAATCAGAGGCATTGCTCAGTATGTGTTTAACTTAAAATTGATATTAGTTAACTGCTATTTGTTTAGCAAGTATATTCAAAATAATCTTTCTTAGGTATTTACTCAGTAATATATAAGCAATAGGACTGGTGGCAAATTTTTTAAAGTTCAGTTTTTAGGCAAATGTAGGTCATAATGCCAAGTACACTATAGTTCCCCTTACACTTTCCCCATCTGGTATACAGACTGATTTGAGGAAGTAGTAAATGAATGGAAAAAATGTCACTGACCAGCGGGACCGAGATTAGGGTGAGTCAAGCCAGCACCCCCAGGCGCCTCATTCTTAGGCAGGTACTCGCAGGGACTATACCTACAGGAATCTGAGAGTAAGTGCCCCCTTCATTTGCTTTTATTGTGGTAAAGCACTCAAAATGTAAACTTCACCATTTTAAAGTGTGCAATTGAAGGGCATTAGTTTACTCATAATGTTATACAACCATCCCCGCTTTCTAGGTCCAGAACACTTTTAGCCCCCTAAGTGGAAACTCCATGTCTACAACCAAGCAGTTACTTCTCGTTTCTCCTTCCTTCAGCCCCTGGCAACCAATAACCTGCTAAATATCCTAGTCTGGATATTTCATATATATGGAATCATACAATATATAGCTGTACCATATTTTTTTATTTCAGCATATTTTGGGGCTACAAATATTTAGGTTACATATATTGTCTTTGCCCCGCCCGAGTCAGAGCTTCAAGCATGTCCATCCCCTCAGGCAGTGCTCACCGCACCCATTAGGTGTGAATATACCCATCCCCTCCCCCGCTTCCCACCTGCCCAACACCCGATGAATGTTACTACTATATGTGCACATAAGTGTTGATCAGTTAGAACCAATTTGATGGTGAGTACGTGTGGTGCTTGTTGTTCCATTCTTGTGATACTTCACTTAGTAGAATGGGCTCCAGCTCTATCCAGGATAATACAAGAGGTGCTAGTTCACCATTGGTTCTTGTACTATATTTTTTAATCCATTCATCGGTTGACAGACATTGGGTTTTTTTACCTTTTGGCTATTGTGAGTAGTGCTGCCATGGACATTCATGTACAAGTTTTTTCTCGAACATTCATTTTTAATTCTTTGGGGGATATATACATAGGCATGGAATTGATGGGCCACGATGACAATTCTATGTTTAACTTTTTGAGAAATTTCCAGACTGTTTTCCACAGTGGTTACATCACTTTACATTCCCACCAGCAATCTCGGAGGGCTCCAATTTCCCCACAACTTTGACAACACCTGTTATTTTTCATTTTCTGAATTCTGGCCATGCTGGTGGGTGTGAATGGTACTTCACTATAGTTTCAATTTGTATTTCCCAGAAGACTAATGACATTGAGCCTCTTTTCACATGTTTGTTGGCCATTCGTGCCTCCTTAAATTTTGCACCCTGTGCACCTGACTTGCTTTAAACTAATCCCAGCCCTGCTCATGACCATGGTGGGGTGAAATGGTAGAGACAGCTGCCTCCAAGTCATCGTTTGGGGTCAGATGCCACTTTTACCAAATGTGTGCCCATAGGCAAATAATTTTCCCTCCTCTAAAGCTGTCTCCTCCCTTGTAGAATGAATGGGTATCGTAATAGTACCTCATGGAGTTATTGGGAAGATTAAATGAAATTATCTAGGGATAGTGCTTTATATAGTGCCTGGCATGTAGTAGGCACTTGGAAATGTTAGCTATCATTTTGCTAGTGGGAATTCACTAAGCATTGGTTGGGTGAGTAATTGGACCCACAGGTTGTTATAAGGTCATGGAAAGGACCATTGCCAAAAAGTTTACCCTCCATACACATTTTAATAATCAAATATCTGGGAGAGTAGATTCCATTCACCACAGAGAGTAACATATATAGTGAATGTAAAATGTAACTCCTGAAGCAAAGATGGAATCTGTAAACCTGTTACCTACAAAGTTATGATTGTTAATAAATCATTCACAAAAACTATGTATCACCAAGGAGAATCTCACTTCCATCTGAGGGAAATAAGCTATTTGAAATCCCTTCTTATTAATCCTCCACCCTAATTCCCACTTGCAAATCCTAGCCCAATTTGTATCACCTGGTCACTGATCAGGAAAATTATTGGGGTAGCTATGTGACCCCAGCTGGTGGAAAGGGGAGAACATGCAAAGAATGAAATCTCAGCTGCTTGTTATGCTTACCATCCAAACCTCATCTTTGAGCGCAGACGTGATTAATCACATACTACGAGGCAGAAGACATGGCCCTTGTCTTCCAGGGGCTTATAGTACCGTGAGCTGCTCCATAAAAGCAAACTCATGACAGAAAATGGTAAAGCCAAATAAAGGGCACAAGCAATGAGTACTACTGGATCTTCCTGTGTATCTACAGTTGAACCAGACCCTCCTGTGAACCTGACTTTGGAAATAAAACAGCCAGAAGACAGAAAACCGTATCTGTGGATGAAATGGTTTCCACCCACCCTGGTTGATGTAAGATCTGGTTGGCTCACACTCCAGTACGAAATCAGATTAAAACCCGAAAAAGCAGCTGAATGGGAGGTGAGTCATCCATAAGATTCTTGAAGGAACCGTGGTCTTTGGCAAGGATGAAGTCCTCACAACTGAGAACAGGTCATTTCTCCTAATTCGAGGGCCACTGTGTCGGCTTCCCAATGCAGATGTGATGCACCCACATGTGGAAAGTCCTTTCCCCTCTATTGGAATTGTAGGAGCTCATTTTCACCACTCTTCCAGGGCTCTACTTGCACTGCACCTGCCTCCCTCGATATATCTTAGATCTAGACACCCATGAGAGTACTTAGTGGCACTGAGGGGGAAGGGGGCACAGAGAATCTCAGTGTAACTGGTCCACGGCCAATGGCTGTGTTTTTCTCCACCTTATAATGCTTCAACATAAAGAAATAATACAGACCGGGCGTGGTGGCTCATGCCTGTAATCCTAGCACTCTGGGAGGCCAAGACAGGAGGATCGCTCAAGGTCAGGAGTTCAAGACCAGCCTGAGCAAGAGTGAGACCCCGTGTCTACTAAAAATAGAAAGAAATTAGCTCAACAACTAAAAAAATATATAGAAAAAATTAGCCGGCCATGGTGGTGCATGCCTGTATTCCCAGCTACTCAGGAGGCTGAGGCAGTAGGATCGCTTGAGCCCAGGGGTTTGAGGTTGCTGTGAGCTAGCCTGACGCCACGGCACTGTAGCCCGGGCAACAGAGCAAGACTCTGTCTCAAAAAAAAAGAAAAGAAATAATACAGTAAATTGTAGGCATTATGATAGTCTACCCTTAAATCATTTAGTACATGCTTCTTTTTTAAAAAGGACATGTCCAAACATAGCCAAAATGATAGGATCACATGTAGGAAAATTATTAAAATTTTTTATATCATCTACTAGCTAGTCCATAGTTTAATTCTTCCCAATTGCTCTAAAATATCTTTAATAGCTAGTTTGTCCAAGCCAGAATCTACTCCAGGACTGTACATCCTGGCTAGTTGTCATATCCCTTCCATTTCAATGCACTCAGGAGACTGGATCACTTGTCCCATAGAATGTCCCACCTTCTTCATTTGTCTAATTAGTTCTTTGTAGAATCATTTTAGCTAATTTCTCTGCCCCTACATTTCCTGTACATTGAATCTAAAGCCTTGATTAGATGTAGGCAAATTTTTGGCAAGAATACCTCAGAGGTGATATCGTGTACTTCGTATTGCATTTTATCAGAAGAAACAAACTATCTGGTTGACCCATCATAAATGATGCTAAAACTACTGGAGAGATGATAACCTAAACCCTTGATTATAAAGTCACATTTAATTTGTATACTATTACTTTAACATAAACAAATGCCCAATTCTCTTCCATCTAGTGGCTTTAACACCAATTAATCATCTTTGAATCAGTTATTTCATTAGGGTTTACAAAATAATTTTCCGATTTTATTTTCCCATCTACATTATTAACTGGTTAGGGTGGGGGGCAGAATATTTGTCCTTCAGAAAAAGAGTTCCAAAGGGAGAGAAAGAAAACCTGTTAAATTTTTGTGTGATCAATTTTTAAATGGAGGAAAGGATAGGGCTGAGAGAGTGGAATGGTGAGAATAGAGTATCTTCTACATGTGATCGTCCAGCCTAACTCCTCCCTGGTTTATTATTTAGGGAAAATTATTTTTCTTCATAACAAAAGTCAGAAGTGACTTCTGTTTTTCTTATTCATTTTAGACCCACTTTGCTGGGCAGCAAACACAGTTTAAGATTCTCAGCTTATATCCAGGACAGAAGTATGTTGTCCAGGTTCGCTGCAAGCCAGACCATGGATACTGGAGTGAGTGGAGCCCAGAGAGCTCCATCCAGATACCTAGTGGTGAGTGTCTTGGCTCCCTTTTGCTTATATACCTAAATATTTTTAAAATGGTAAATTTGCATATACTAACTACTAATAGAGAAACAATTTTTGAGCCTTAGCCAGAAGAATCGCAGAGGTGGGTTTATAATCTCTCTACCCAATACAAAGACATTTTGTAGGGAAGCATTGCTCCCTGGATTACTGTTGATGAGGAGCAGTTTCTAGGGTAAAGCCACAGATGTGGGCCTGGGATTCCTCGAAGGGCTTGATAGTCAGTCATTCTGCCCCTACCATTTGCCCCTGTCATTTAGAGGGTCCAGTTAAGGTCATCATCTAGTTCTTCCAGGATTTAGAAGGTTGTATCCCATCTCAAAGGCATGAACTGATGTTCAGTCTCTGATGTGAATCACACACCGGTGTACTAGACAAGGTATAATATAGAAGATGCACTCAGTTCCAACGAAGTGCCTTAATACAATGGCTTGTATTTTGTAGAGGAATGATTCATCTTGTGTTTCAAAAATACTTCTCAGCTTACAAAATCTTTACCTAGTTCAGTCCTCCCAACCCTTTCAGGTATTCAGAGACAATATAATTACCATTAGGAATAAAAAGTGAGGAAACCAAAGTTCAGCAAAGTTAAGGGCCTTTCCCAGAACCACACTGCAAAGTCTAGCTTTTCCAACAACTTGCCTGGCCAAAGCTTCAGGCTTCCATTCTCTCATTGGCTTGGCATGCTGGAAATAGCACTGAACTGCAAATCAGGACATGCATCTAGTCCAGTCCTGGCTCTTACTAAATAAAAGCACAGGGTCTGGAAGCAGAAGGTCTGGATTCAAACCCCAGACTGCAGCACTATAGATATATGGTCACGGGTAAATCACTCTTTGAGTCTCAGTTTTCTTATCTATACAATGAGACAACACATGTAAAGAGCTTAACACCATTGATGGCTTTTAATAAGAACTTAATAACTGTTAGCTTTTATTGTTATTACTGCAACTGACTATGTGACCTTGGATTTTCTCTTTAAGGCTCAAATAAAAGAATATGTGAAAGTATTTTGAAATTTGTAGAGTAGTATAAAATATATGCAACATGTTAAAATATTAATAATATTGGCAAAAATTAGACCTGTCATTGATGCTTCTTTGTTTGGATTGCTGTTCAAATCAAAAGAGATATAGATGGGGAAATAAACCTCTTGGGTTCAAAAGTTTCATTCATTAGGTTTATTTGTTTTTAATAATGCTGTATGTGATCAAAGCTTTCTGGCTGTTTGTTTTTTAGACTACACCATGAGAGATACAACCATGTGGATCTTTGTGGCCATTCTTTCTACTGTCATCTCTTTGATGGTTGTCTGGGCAGTGGCTCTGAAGGGCTATAGGTACTTCACTGTCTCTCAGTCCTCCTCCCAATCATGGTTGTCAGAGATAACAGCAAAAAAGATAACATAAAGATGATAGAAACCTACAGATAATCCGAGCACCTAATTTTAGCCATTAGTTGTAGTGTGTTTGCCCATAAAATATCTTTTATCAATGCTAGAAAAAGTAGAAAAATGGATTCATTTGAGGCTAATGCTCTTTCTATCAAACAGAGGTTCATAGTTGTAAAATATAACAGTAAAAATCTGACAAGAGAGCTAAAATCAAGAGAACCAAATAGTCCAGATAATCCACTAACATCAAAATCAGCCTGCTCAATTAGAGCTAACTTTAAAGTAAGACTGTAATTACTAATTATCTTCATCATTGATTATTAGTTTTATGTAGCCTCAAAACTCTAACTCTTACCTCTCATGGTCCATGTAGGAGCTATTTAAAGCTATTGGTATTAAATAATATCAATCTTTCAAAAATTACAAAGTCAGAAATGAGTCATTTAGCCAATCTCACGAATTATTTTGTAGCATGGTGACCTGCATCTTTCCACCAGTTCCTGGGCCAAAAATAAAAGGATTTGATACTCATCTGCTGGAGGTAAGTGCCAGAGGCGGAGAATGCGGTGTGACTCCCTGGCTTTGTGATAATTAACTCCTCACACGCAAGCACAGTGCCCATCAACTCAGCCTTCCTGGGCTGACTCTCCTCTCAGTGTGTGTGTTAACAGAGAGATGTGTGAGGGTGCTTGCTTTCAGACACTAAATGACAGAGGGCAAGAAAAGAAAGCCAAGAAAAGGTGAAAACACATAGCAGTGCTTGCTAGATTTACCACGTCCACTCATAAGCACAGAGATAAACATTTTGTACAAATAATCAATTTATAAAGAGGATGAATATTTTGATTAATACAAACCAGGGACCCACCAACACCCCCTTTATCATACATTGGTAAAAGCTTCCATTTAAATGTTCTTTGCATAAAGCCATAATAGCAGAATATACTATTGCAATGATTGCTCAGTCTGAGCACCCAGTTAAGGCTGGATCGATACAGTGGGGCCTGCTGTTTGCCAGGGCCCATTTAGGCTGATTCAAGAGGGAATTAAATTTAAGTGCTTTGAATGAAAAGAAGGGCTAGAACATTTTTATTTCTGTCCAGGTTGAAATATATCCTTTCAATGTATATATCAATTTGACTTTTAAGCTTAACACTGATACATAGAAAAGCAGTTACCTTACATGAAAGCAAATACCACTTGACCCAGCTGCTGTGAGTCTGACAGTGCTGGAATATGAGAAGTGAGTCCCAGAAAATTTGGCTTTTCTGCACTCATTTTGTTTACAAATGTCAGAGGAACTAGAGCCCAGGAGTTTGGGCTCTTGATCCAGTGTTCTCACCCTATTACCTGGTCTAGTATTGACCTCACAGAACCAGCACCAATGTCTCCACTAACTAAACTAACTACTGTCTAGCTTGCAATTCGGCCCGCTAGCCACAGGGACTTGATGGTAAAAGTACTACTTTTGGTGTCAAAAAAATATTTTGGTATTCTTAATTATGTTACCCTAATCCTCAAAAGAACTGTCCCAGATGGGTAGTATTATCCCCATTTTTAAACGGAGAGGCTCGGGTGCGGGGAGCAGCTGACCCAGTGTCATGTACCCTGTTATAAGTGACAAAGACAAGTGTGCAACCTAAGTCAGAGGATGGGAGAGAACAGGAGAAAATGAGAAGAGAAGTGGAGTAGGAGGAAGGAGAGGGAGGAGGAGGAGGATGAGAGGGAGAAGATTGGATTAGGAGGAAGAGGAGGAGGGTGAGGAGGAGGGAGAGGAAATGGAATGGAAGAAAAAGAAAAAGTGGGATAGGAAGAGGGAGGAGAAGGAAAGGGGAAAGAAGTAGAAAGAGCAGTGAGAGATAAGAATCAACTTACTATTTCCAGATTAGAGAAAGTGGCAGAGGAGGTCAGGAGGCCACAACCTCAGCTCCGCCAAGGAGCCTCAACGTGTCAAATGCATGCATGAGCATTGCAGGTTCGGATGTGTCGCAAACCTTTTTTATTTAATAGTTTTATGTTTATTATATGTGTGTAGACTACTTGCCCATTAAGCTCACAATCATCATTGCTTAAGAGAGACTAAGTTAAAATCACGAGTTGACTTAAAGAAAAACATTCGATGAACAGTATCTGGGAGGTGGTTCTACAATTCCTCTGTGGCCCGGCACACAGATGTTTGAGGTTTGGGAAATTCTGTGAGGCTGTTACCACATCCTACCTGCTCATGGTAATGTGATGCTGATGTCAGGTGCTAGGAAGCTAACCGCCATCTCTCCTGTGTCTGTTTTCATAGAAGGGAAAGTCTGAAGAACTACTGAGTGCCTTGGGATGCCAAGACTTTCCTGCCACTTCTGACTGTGAAGACTTGCTGGTGGAGTTTTTAGAAGTAGATGACAGTGAGGACCAGCAGCTAATGCCAGCCCATTCAAAAGAACACCCAGGTCAAGGTGTGAAACTCCCACACCTGGATCCTGACAATGACTCTGGCCGGGGAAGCTGTGACAGCCCTTCCCTTTTGTCTGAAAAGTGTGAGGAACCCCGGGCCAATCCCCCCACGTTCCAAGCTCCCGAGGTCATTGAGAAGCCAGAGAATCCTGAAACAAATATTACCCGTACCTGGGACGCCCAGGGCATCAGTGTGAAAGGCAGAATCCCCTACTTTCATGCTGGTGGATCCAAATCTTCAACATGGCCTTTACCGCCATCCAGCCAGCACAACCCCAGGTCCTCCTATCACAACATTGCTGACGTGTGTAAGTTGGCTGTGGGCCCTGCTGGTGCACCAGCCACTTTGTTGGACAAAGCAGGTAAAGATGCTGTAAAATCTTCTAAAACCATTAAGACTGGAGAGGAGGACAAGGCAGCCGAGCAGGGGGAGGTGGAAAGCTCCCATTCCAAGACTGACCAAGACACGGCTTGGCTGCTGCCCCAGGAGAAGACCCCCTTTCTCTCCACTAAACCCTTGGATTATGTGGAGATTCACAAGGTCAACAAAGATGGAGCACTGTCCTTGCTACCAAAACAGAAAGAGAACAGCGACCGTGCAGAGAAGCCCGGGGCTCCCGAAATCAGCAAGGAGTATGCGAAGGTGTCCAGAGTTATGGATAACAACATGCTGGTGTTGGTGCAAGATCCACGAGCTGAAAATGAGGGTTTGTTTGAAGAATCAGCTAAGGAGGCTCCGCCATCACTTGCACAGAATCAAGCTGAGAAAGACTTGGCCTTCTTCACTGCGACACCAAGCACCTACAGGCTCCAGCTGGGTGGGTTGGATTACCTGGATCCTGCATGTTGTATGCACCCCTTTCATTGATAGCTTAACTGATGGAATGATTGGTTAGAATGTGATTTTTCTTCAGGTAACACTACAGAGTACATACAATGAAATCTCTAGAGAATGCTGGAGAATGCAGTCAGATTGACACTACTCAATCTCACAGCTCCTTTTCATGCTCCATTTTCAACCACTTGCCTCTTTCTCCAACAGCTGATTCCAGAACAAATCATTCTGTTTCCTAACTGTGATATGTAGATTTATTTGTTTTGCTATTAGTTATAAAATTATGTGTTCAATGAAATAAAAGCACATTGCTTAGTGTTCTTGAGGGACAATGCCTATAGGTATATCCTCTGGAAAAGGCTTTCATGGTTTGGGATGTGACAGATAGAAATGAAATTGTCAAAATTGTTTACCACAGGAAGATGACAGATAAGTGGAAAATGCCACGAAAACTGATTTTGAAAGCCAATTGCTGAACCTTTACGTTCCTCTTTCATTTTATTAGGATTACCCAAATATAACATATTTGAAAAAAGAATGCATTCCAGAATACCTGACAAATTATTTACATCAGTTCCTATGCTTTGCAAATACGTTGCCATATGCAAGTAAAATGATGCCTCCAATTTTTTCTTAAAATTGTTTGAATAGTTAAACATGGATTTCTTCCCCTAAATTTTATTTTATTCTAAAGCCTCCAGAGAATATAGTTTTGGCAATTAAAATTTCCTTATACAAGAGGCAAATGAATTTCATGTGGTGAACCCTTTTAGGATGTTTTCCTGCTTCATTTCAGCATAATAGTGAAAAAAAGAATCCCAAAAGACTAACTTTAATTTAAAAGATAATCACAGCAGAATGCTAATGGAAATACTGCCTTACTGTACATACAAATTCTACTTTAATACAAACCCATAAGCTTAACTTGTATTTTTAAAGACTATTTTTCTATCACTTAGGTAAAATAAAAGAATATTTTCTATCTTCCCAGTACAGCTGTTTACATATTCAGTGGGTACAGTATTTTCTGCTACAAGGTTTAATGAGTCTTTACAGTACATAGTAGTATATATAGTCCCTGTTTATGGAGTAAAATGCCATAGCGATCCAAAGCCCACTAAGGAATACAAAGTGGATGACAAAATTCAGTTTCCAACACCATCTAGTGTAGTTTATCTGATTCTTTTTGTCTCCAACGACAACTCCCACCACTACCAACCTAGGGTTTTAGGACTCTCTACAGACAAGAAATTATTTCTCCTATGATATTTGGGCCACTCTAGGGCTTCTTCCCATCTATGGGTGAATCTTCCTAAAGCTACCATGAAAAAGGAAAGTGGCAATTTCTAATATGCTGTTTCAGAGAGAGAGGTTTGCTTTGGTTTTGTTTTTCTGAGAAATTTTGAGCAGAAAAAAAAAAATGAAAGCCAAACCAGGAGTTAGTATCTCTCTGAAGTAGATCCATTTGCAAACTCTTGGCAGAGATGTCACTTACATCAGAAGTGTCCAAATAAAAGTTCTAGGAAACCAGTTATTTGTAGAGCGATGGGAATCACTCCAAAGGTCAGGGTATGGTGGTAAGAATTTCCAAGTCAGTTCCAAGGCCAGGCTCCCTGACAGGGGTCAAAGCTTGGATCTTCATTTTAAAGGAGTCATCCATCTACGTGTGCAAACTATCTCCCTCTATTTTGCATTTTGCCTGATGGTAAATCCATTCTCTATTGCCCATTCACTAGCAAAACACCCATATTGATAGGAGCTGGACTCAGAGGTTCCCTGATGCTTCAAAGTGAAGACATTGCCAGTGATTTCAGAATTGCAAAAGCGATGGATATAAAGCCCTGTTTTCCCAATATACAAACCATATCTTGTGAGTGAGGGAAGCTTGTGGGAAAGTTGTCTAAGCTCATTCAGTCCCCTGGATCGTTGATCCCCAAAATATCTTGGGACCAACTGCATCAGCATCACCTGAGTGCTGTTTGGAAATTCTGTTTGCAGAATCTTAGGCCCCACCTCAGACCTACAGAATCAAAATCTGCATTTTACTAAGACTTCCAAATGATTTACATGCACATTGAAGTTTGAGGAGCACTTCCCTAGGTGACCATTTCTACTAAAGGGCATTTCAGTGCACAGAAACAATCCTCTCTTGGAAAGCACAGATCAAGTCTGTTTGACTTGCAATGAACAACACTGTATATAAGGAGAAGGCAAAAAAATATATTAGTGGTTTAAGTTCCATATAGTACTGAATCTTATGTGAATTCACATAAGAGAATGACTTGCAAAAGCACACAAAACTTCCAGGAGGGCCAGAGAATACAGTCCACTTTGAGAGGCGTTGACCAAAGACAATGATCTTCAAAGCCACTACAGACTAAACCTTGCCGAACCATAGTTCATTCTTCTCTTCTTCTCTAAGATATATATGAATCATTCCTATAGCTTGAAAACTTAAAAATCATCTGCTTTTGACATATAATTTTCATATGTGAAAAAGTGTTATGGCTAAAGACTCGAACTAAATCTCTGAAAAACACCAATTAGCATTTCTAAGTAAAGTCAAGATTTTAATTCTATGGTCAATTGGCATTATTTGAATTAAGTTTTTTTATGGTCTAACATATTTTCTATCAAGGAGACAGCTGTTCAAATGGAAGGATACATACTGGGTTCTAGTCCTAACTGTTCTGCCTTAGAGAGAACAATTCCCTTCTCTGAGCTTCAGTTTGCTCTGAAGATGTTGGACCAAATAATCTCTAAGGTCCTTTTAAACTCTGATTACTTGATTTCATGACTTACAAAATATTTTCCTTCAAAGATAATTCAACCCAATGCCTCATATCTTAATTAAGCTGACAAAAATTGCTCTTCATCATGGAATTACAAAGTAATCTTCAGTGATGTGCTCATTACACTTCACTTTTTAAATCATACGTTCCAGTTGATCTTAATACATTGCACATGCATTTTATAAGTGATGTACGTATAGAATCATATTCTAAGATTATATGCAAATATATGTGTAGAAAGAAGAGGCATGAGACAGAAAAGATACATATTGAATAAGGCACTAATCTTTAGAAATATGATCTTGTACTGAATTAAGCCATACTCATGTCTTGCTGAATCCAACAGCCTCAAGTCTATCTAGCTATTAGTTTTTATCCTCTTATCATAAATTATGAACGATCATTGTACAGTATGCTCTGAGTTATAAAAAGTTGTATTTTTATAAACAAATACCTAAATAGTCAAGTTGCAAAGCACATGGAAACTGTATCTAGTCAATGGATGACTTACGGAAACTTATGACCCAAACAGCAAAATATTCTCTCATCAGTTTTAACAAATGTGCATAATACCCCCTAATATGAGTACAAGTTAGTACCAACTGTGTCAGATATTTAAGATTCTGCATTTCTCTAATGATATTTATCTAATAATATTTCACAGACTCTGCATTTTCCTAAGTGCCTAAGACCAATCCTGACAGTCAGGCATGTACTGAAGTCTCCCTTTAACTGGTTTGGTACAAGATTTAGGCAGTTTGACTCCTTGTCCTGTGTTGACCCAACTGAATTGGAGAATCCTGTGAGTTCATGAGCAAGCAGAGGCACCTGAGTTCCCGGGAGCAGTGTGGAGGGAGGAAATCTGGCTGCCCATCACTTGCAGAAAGACTTGGCTCTGCCTTTAGCAACTTCCCTATCTCTTTAGAGTAGACAAGAAAGAAACAGATTTGTACACATTTTACAAAGTGCCTTCCTTCAGTTTTATTTTTAAAAAGTGTTCATTTTGCAAGAAAAGTATATTGATTAGAAAGTAAACTTTACCTTATAGGGATTTTTTAATGTAAATGAATGGGGAGATGAAAAGAGGAAAAGCCAGAAAGGGAACAACAAAATGGTCTAAAAACCAACCAGCAAATTTTTATGTATTGTTTAATTGAATTACCATAGAGCTGATGTGAATAGTGTAACTTACTTTGCCTGATTAAAAAAATTGAGGCTGGCTATGATTTGGGGATAAGCCTGCCACACTGTGATTTGAAACTCTCAATTGTAAAACATATCGATGCACTTTTGAATGTCATTGAATTGCATGCCTAGGCCTGAAAGGAAAATGCATGCACATTGGAATTTTGTGCACAGACAGAAAATATTAATGATTTTGAATCACCATCCCCACCGTTGCAAACATAGCTTTGCTATTGATGAAAGCCTCATGTGTACTTCAGTGAACAAATTTCTTTTTCTGCCTTTTTGGCTCAAGCACAATAGTGCTGTCGCTAGGATAGTGACAGAGCACTCAATGTCCAGGACTAAGTCACATCACTGCCACTAAACAGGCTGTCTGACTTTCGGTAGGTCCTTTAAACTCTGGTCACCAGTTTTCTCACTTGTTAAATAAGTGGGTTGGCCTAAAAGATTTCTTAAACCTCTTGCAACTCTGGTTTTGATTCTCACAATCTGAGTAAAATCCAGGGTTTCAGGTCAAAGGCCCAGGTACAGTGCAAGAAAGTATTGCCGACATGCCCCTGGCCTGAGCCCTGAACGTGGGACAGTGCGTAACAATGTATAAGAGAAAAATGGAGATCCATTCCTCCGAGTCAGATGGATTTAACATCCTTGCTTCTCCTCTTCCTTCCTAGCTTCACATACTTGTAGGCTTTTTATTTCCTCCCTTCAGGGTATATTATTTTTCCTAAGAGTTAGTAGCAACCATAGGATCTGCAAGAAATGGAATTATTCATAAACAATGAATTTGTCCCTG